GGGCTGATCTAAGTCAGGGTATGGCTAACTCACAGATTAAACCCTGAAACAACCTCTGGGCTGATCTAAGTCAGGGCATGGCTCTGCTGTAGAAGTTGAAATACTGATATTGGATATGTTTTGTGAATATAWGAATGTGACTAACCATGAATAGATTCTTGCACATGTCATCTTTGACTAGGTTCATTACTGAGGTGAARTTCCCTAGATGGTGAGCACCAGCCTCCAGGGCTACAGTCAACAGAGACAACCCCATATGGATCATGGCTTCTGAGTTATGCCTGAATAAAATGAAGGGAAAAACTGTGTACAGTCAACTCTCGCCTTGTGGACACCCAGATATTATTAGATATTATTATTAGATATTATTATTATTATTATTATCAATGTCATGTTATGTATAACTATGTATGTTTAAAACAAAAATGTATTGATCAATAAAATAGTAATTTTCTAAATAATAATAATAATAATCATCATCATCATCATCATCACCATCATAACCACCACCATCACCAATATCATCATCATCATCATCACCATCATAACCACCACCATCACCAATATCATCATCATCATTATTATTATTACAGATACCTTGCTATTACGGACAGGAGTAAAAGCRCCGGCAAAAATAATGACAAAGAAATGACCATAATCATTTCTCATTATTGCAGACACTCACTATTACAGATACTAAGGCCACTTGCCAAACATGCACATGTTTCCCCGATGTTTCCCAGTTTAGCTAAACATTGCTGTGTGCAACAAATTTTGCTTCCAAGATGCAAAAATGTTTCTGCTGTGTGACAGGTGTAGTTTGTTTAGGCAAGGTGAATTTAGGCATGGTGTTGTGTGGTGTGTTGGGGGAGGGGGGAGGGGGTTGGGTGTTATAAGGTTATGAGATATGGTGATTGTGTAGTGATGTGGGGTTAGGTGTGGTCAGGTGTGGTAAGGTGAGGCGAGGTGAGATGAGGTAAGGTAAAATGAGTTGAGGCAAGAAGGGGTTCAAGGTGAGGTGAGGTAAGGTGAGGTGAGGTGAGGTAAGGTGAGGTGAGGTAAGGTGAGGTAAGGTGAGGTGAGGTAAGGTGAGGTGAGGTGAGGTGAGGTGAGGTGAGGTAAGGTGAGGTGAGGTGAGGTGAGGTGAGGTGAGGTAAGGTGAGGTGAGGTAAGGTGAGGTGAGGTAAGGTGAGGTGAGGCAAGAAGGGGTGAGGTGAGGCAAGAAGGGGTGAGGTGAGAGGTATATCATGGAGAGATAAGGTATAATAATAAATAAACATATTACCTGTCATGTGGATTGATGAGTGATGTTAAAAATCTGAAGAGTTCTCTAATACAAGGTAAACCATAGGGAACTAGCGGCCCTGCACCTGAATCACACACACACAAAAGAAACACGGTCRAAATAAGTACAGTATCAAGTTCCAAGGTTTTAATCCAGGACAACCCTCAAACTCCCCACCCCTTGGAAATTCCAATCCCCCTCCATGGGGGAGGTATGGATATTTTCTGGTACTACACAATATACCCTCCTCAGACCCTCTCCACCCCTTGGAAATTCTGGTAATCCCCCTCCATGGGGGAGGTATGGATATTTTCTTGTACTACACAATATACCCTCCTCAGACCCTCCCCACCCCTTGGAATTCCCAATAACTTTCTATGGGGGAGGTATGGATATTTCGTGGTATTACACAATATACCCTCCTCAGACCCTCCCCACCCCTTGGAAATTCCAATCCCCCTCCATGGGGGAGGTATGGATATTTTCTGGTACTACACAATATACCCTCCTCAGATCTTCTCCACCCCTTGCAAATTCCAATAACTTTCTATGGTGGAGGTATGGATATTTTGTGGTACTACATGAACAAATAAAACACAACCCTCACCATCTTTAGCAGGTTCTTGTGGCGTAAATCTGACTCCTCTAGGATTGACATACTCATCATTTGTTCCCAACATATCTGACGTTCTGCCATCAGCATGTACTTCTACTACATCATCACCATCATCTGTTTCTACAGACGCAAAATCCTTATTGTCGTCTATATCCTCCTCYGTCATGATGGTACTAGCAACACTTTCTGTGCCGTCCTAGGAGTAAAAGAAATATTTCAGATATTTATATTAGAGAAAATGAAGAAACTTTGTTCCTGAAATGATGCTAACAGTGAGTAAAAGAGAAAAGAAAAGAAAA